AGCTGCAGCGTCATATTCAATGATTGAAATCGATGTATGGCATTTTTATCTCACTGCATGTCTGGTCTTCTTGGATTGAAGAATCAGCTGAATCTTCAACACATTCCTTTGCCATCATACAAGGTAATGATTCCTGCCAATCTGGTTCTTCATCTGAAACTTGGTTTTCTTCTTCCTGAGTTTCTTTTTTAGGTGCTGGAGGCTGAAGTTGGGACAGAAGATGTATTATTTCCTCTCAAAACCCGGAAGAGCATCTGAGCGACCAACTCCCGCGGTCAGAGGTGTCGCGACCGCGGGAAAAAGGGTCTTGGCCGCGGTCAGGTTGCTTGGACCCGCGGCTCCAGATATGACTTGCTCAAAGTCCGTCTCTTCCTTCTTGTACTTGACACGAACTTCTCCTGTATCTTTATTTGGTAGATTAGCATCGTATGAACTCATACCAGGGCGTTGTTGTGCATCTTCATTAGGATTTTTGGGAGATTTCTTAGAAAATCCCTCAATTTGCTCAATGTTGGGCATCTGCTCCATTCTTGCATCAATCTCCCGTGCTTTGAGCTCGAGTTTGTTCACCCTGTGCTCGATCTCTTGCAACTCTTCGTCTGTCTTCTCTCTATACCAGGAGGTGGATTCTCTGACTTCTTTAATCTCCTGTTTTGATTCGACAATATCACTTGATTTTTGTATGATGTCATACCCTTGTCTTGTCTGCTCTGTTGCGACTTGGTGGATCATCCCAGCTAGTGTTTGTGAGTCCTTGTAGGTTTGCTCTTCCAAAACTTGAACATAATTGGCCATATCATCAAATTTATTGTTGAAATCTTCAGAGATTGAATCAATTCTCTTGACCAGGGTGTTTTCGGTGAGAATCTGCTGATCAAGGAACTGGTTTATCATCCCTTCGAGGCGTCCCAAACGTCTGCTGATCCTCAAGTTGTCCTCTTGCTGACTAGGGTTCTGCAATGGAGGATTACAGGCGTGTGGCTCGAAGTAGGTTGGAGGAGGGCCATAAGGATCTTCCCGGCGTCGAATAGTCTCTCTGCGCCGGTGGTAAGGGTGGTTTGGCTGGCTGTATCGATCCATGTAGCTAAAATTTCGGGCATGGTGTTCTTCTCTGCGTCTGGTGGCTTGAGGAGTGTTATAGAAATCTTCCTCATAGTGTATATTTCGATTTATAGGATCCATATCTTCTGAAATGGAAACAAAATAACCGAAAAAAGGAAAGTTGCAGAAAAGGGGGTTGTAGAGTCGATTTACTAACCTTTCTCGGGGTTTTGCAGAAAAGAAAACGCGTGCCTTCCCCGGCAACGGCGCCAAAAACTTGATGGTGACTTGATGTGATTGTGTCGAGGGTTGTCAAGTTTTACCCTAATTGAAATCAATAGCCGCAAGTGCACAGCTGATCGATTGTAGTACTTAGGGATCGAATCCACAGGGAAAGAGGATCTTTTCCTGCAAAAAGCCTTTGAAATAAGTATTAAGTAAGGAAGTCTAGAACCAAAACGGTTTTGTGGGGGTTTGGTAGTGTGTTTGAAATGCAAAAACGAAATCTTAAAAGAGAATACGGGAACTAAATGGCTTAATAACTAAACTTAATGAAAATGACTAAAAATGTAAAAAATTGATATCTAATTGCTTAAATGAAAATGAACTAAAATGGAAAGACAATATTGTACTAAGGCTGAAAGAAAAATCGGTGTAAAGAAATGGGAAAGAAGGCGTTGGGGTTCAGGGAGGTTTTCTCAGGGGTACGAACGATTCAAAACATTGCTAGAGAGTAAAATTGATAAGATCTTAGCTTAAACTTTTCGAACTGGAGTCACGGACGTATGAATACGCCACTGTCGTGATCATAGACAACTATCTCTCTCAACCCTGACCAGTAGGTTTCCACTCTGGCCCTGGAAGAGAAGAGATGCATTATGTTTAAGACTCGTCCTAATTCACAAATCTCCCATAGGTAGGTTTCCACTCCTATGTTTGTTTTGCTCTCCCAAACTAGATCTGATACCTGATGAACACTTTCGTGTCACCAAGCATCTGGATCAGATTGTAGTTCATGATGCTACTCTCATGCAGTAAAAACGAAATTCCGCAGAAAAAGTTCTAAGATTCGGCTCAAAAGCTCATGGAATCCTCATCGAACATATAAAGCCCCATCGAAAATCCCTTAATCCCAACAATAAAACTACTCAGACATGATGAACGAAATCAAAAACATAGTATTAAGAAGTAGAATAGAAACCGAAATGGAAAAAGAAAGAACAAGGGTTCAAGAGAACAAATCTCTCTCTCCCTAAAAGCTAAAGCAAAAACAATAAAAATATGAAGTAAATTTTTCTGTGGTCTGAGTTTACACATCGTTTAGGGTTCCTAAGACATGTATTTATAGTGCTCAAGACCTCTCAGGACGTCACTTAGGGTTTCTCCAAATGTGGGCTTCAGAAATGGGCTTTTTGGGCTCGGAGGTTGATTGCCGCGGTCGGGAGTGCTCTGACCGTGGGGAATGAGTGTTTGCTGCGGCCGGGATGCTCCTGACCGTGGGGAATGAGTGTTTGGCCGCGGGTAGAAGTGCTTGCCGGCTGGTTTACGGGACATCTTGCTCTTCGCGTATCTTTTGATTGAACCGTTGGATTGCCAAGCTGTAAAGTGCACTGGAAAGCTGATACTTCCATCTTTAAGGTCTCGAAATTTGAGCTGGATCAGACGGTGAGAAGGCCTTCAATCAGGGGTGAACTTATGACGGTTTGACTCTGAGCTGAAATCTGGTTTTCTATCCATTTTGTTAAGCTTTTCCCTAAGTTACCTGAAAAGAGTCTTGGAACTACAAATACTAGAAAAACGTAATAAAAGTACTTAAAAGTAATTAAAAACATAGAAAAAAGTATTTCAAAACGATCCATAAAAGTGGTCAAAATACGGTGTTATCACGTCAGGGTACCACCAGATTCCAATCTTAGAGAGGGACGTAATGAAGACGGTGTTCAACACTCGGTACGGGCAGTACGAGTTCGTGGTGATGCCGTTTGGGCTAACCAATGCGCCAGCGGTCTTCATGTGATTGATGAACGAGGTGTTTCACGACTATTTGGATAGTTTCGTGATCGTGTTCATCGATGACATCTTAATCTACTCAAAGACTAAGGAGGAGCATGGACAGCACCTGAGGAAGGTCCTAGAGAGATTAAGAGAGAGGAAGCTGTATGGACTGCACCTGAGGAAGGTCCTGGAGAGATTAAGAGAGAGGAAGTTTAGCAAATGCAGATTATGGAAAAGAGATAGGATTTCTCGGACACCGGGTGTCAGAACAAGGGGTGTCAGGAGATCCAGACAAGATTACAATTGTCTAGGAGTGGCCTCGACCCACAACTGTAACAGAAGTGAGAAGTTTTCTAGGTTTGGCGGGATACTATCGGAAGTTTGTGAAAGGATTCTCGTCCATAGCCAAGCATTTTACTAAACTCACAGGGAAGGATGTACCCTTTGTGTGGAATGAAGAGGTGGAGAAGGCGATCGTCAAGCTTAAGGAAGCTTTGACAACAGCACCAGTATTAACGTTACCTGAGCTAGGGAAATTTTATACTGTGTACACGGATGCATCACGAGTGGGATTAGGATGCATCTTAATGCAAGGAGGCAGGACCATAGCCTATGCATCACGACAGTTGAGGAAGCATGAAGAAAACTACCCCACTCATGACCTAGAGATGGCGGCGGTGGTATTTGCATTGACGATTTGGAGATCCTACTTGTATGGGAAAACCGTAAAAGTATTTACCGATCATAAAAGTCTTAAATACTTGTTCACTCAACCAGATCTCAACCTGCGCCAGAGAAGGTGGATGGAGTTCATCACCGACTACAACATCAGGATTCAATACCATCCGGGCAAGGCGAACATGGTTGCGGATGCATTGAGCCGGCGAAGGACGGATGTGAGCAGGCAAGACAAGATGGAAACTTTTAGTAAGGGGCTAAGTCAGGTGAGTTTAGCGGCCTTAGATGGAGAAACCGGAGAACTCATGGTACTCCAAGCAGCAAATCAAGCAAGTTTGATCCAGAGAATTCGGAAAGCTCAGCAGAGAGACACAGAGTGCCAAAGACTTGTGGAGAGACTTGAAAACCCCGAGGAACCAACGGTTAGTGATTCTCACTTAGCAGAAGATGGGACTCTTCTACTTAAGGGGAGAATCACGGTTCCTAGAGGAGATGGATTGAGGGAAGAGATCATGATGACGGCACACCAGTCACGTTGGAGCATTCACCCAGGTAGTACCAAAATGTACAAGGACATCAGGAAGTACTATCACTGGGCGGGAATAAAAAGATCGGTGGCGGATTGGGTGGCAAAGTGACAAATTTGCCAGCAGATCAAGGTGGAGCATCGAGTACCAGGTGGTCTGCTACAGAGTCTACTAGTACCACAGTGGAAGTGGTACTCGATCTCGATGGACTTCATTTGAGGTCTACCGGTGGGAAAAGGCAGGATGAACAACTCGATATGGGTCATTGTCGACCGGATGACCAAGGTGGCCCATTTGCTAGCAATTCGGGATATGGATCCAGTAGAAGTAGCCGAGTTATACGTGAATCAGATCGTGAAACTTCATGGAGTGCCAGCGGATATCATATCGGATCGAGATCCAAGGTTCACAGCAGCGTTCTGGCGAGCATTGCAAGGAGCCTTAGGCATATAAGTAAAGATGAGCACGGCGTTTCATACTGAGACGGACAGACAAACTGAACGCACTATCCGGACAATTGAGGACTTGTTGCGGCTGTGTATTCTAAACTGGGCTAAGGTATGGGAACAACACCTACCCTTGGTTGAATTCTCATACAACAATAACTTCCATGCGAGCATCGGCATGTCTCCATATGAGGTTTTATATGGGAGACCATGCCAAACCCCTCTGTGCTGGACAGAAATTGGGGAGAGGAAGCTATTCGGACCACCAATGGTGGACGAGACCATAGAGAAATTGTAGGTGCTCCGAGCCAATATGAAGAAAGCCCAGGATCTGCAAAAGAAGTATCCTGATCAGAATCAAAGAGAAGTGACATTCGCGGTAGGAGACCGCTTTGGGAAAGTCGGTAAGCTGGCAGTCAGATACATATGGCCTTACCAGATCACGGGAAGAGTGGGAGAGGTGGCATATCAGTTGGAATTGCCACCAGACATGAAACTTCACCCAGTGTTTCATGTCTCCATGCATCAGAAGCATGTACCAGATCCGAATGCGATAGTGCAAGAACTGATTCGGGATCTGCAGCCAGATTTGACGTATCCGGAAGGGCCTTTGAGTATTGGAGAAAGGCGAGTGAGGAAGTTGAAGAACCGAGAGATACCACAGATCCAAGTGTTTTGGGGGAGACAAAACTGGGAGGTGATCACGTGGGACGATGAGACACGATTCAAGGAATAGTACCCAGGTTCTTCGAGGAAGACACCATCATTGAGCATTGGGAGCCGTCGCGGTCTTAATAGAATTCGGGACGAATTCTAGTAAGGGAGGGAGAATGTAATACCCCAACCGTGAGCTAAGACAGCCAAAAATCCAAAGTCGCGGTCTGGACTAGGGGATGGCTTGAGATGAGAATGGGGACCAAGAGAGGCATTTATGTCAAGACAGAATGGAGTTTGGCTGAACAGTTCAAGATTTAGCCGAGGAAGCGGAACTGTGGTCGGGACAGCGGGGCTAAAGCGGGATGGAAACCGCATAACCAGAAAACATGACGGCACGGATCCCAAGGGTAGTGGCAGACAAGACCATGTGGGTATGTCAGCTAACTAGGGGACAACCAGCTGCCAATGTCAGTAATAGCGCGGGCTTCAGATCAGACTAGACTGGACGGGCTAGGGAGGGGACAGCGAGCCGCCGATGTCAGACCTAGCGTGGGCTAGTGGTCGGACCCGTCAGGGACAGAACAGAGCAGCTTGGGCCGCAAGTTAGGGCATGTGTATGGACACATGTCGCGACATGGCGCTGCCGCCAGAATGGACCAATACGGGTTAGTTAGTTGTCAAAACCCACTAAGCCTTAGTTTCCCCTATAAATATCCGAACCTCCCAGCCATTTTCTCACTTCTGTTCTAAGCTTTAGAGAGAAAAAGTTAGAGAGTGATAGGTAGTGAGAAATAGCGTGGTGGAAGGATCGCGGAGGCATTTTCCGGCGGTAGGTGTATCGCGGTAGCTAGCGGAAACAAGAATAGTCAGTAAGCTTTATATTTCGGTTATAAATCTAAATTACCTTAGGCTCGACTTTTACTTAGATAATGTCTATAGATCCAAAGGAAGTCTCAAAGGAGCGAGCAGGGGATCTAGAGCGTTAGTCCAAGAAAGGTGAGTTCCAAACTTAGGGATGGTGCTGGGGTTAACATGATGGTTTTGGGTTCAGACGCACTGGGGTTGTGTCTGTACGCCAAATCCATGCATAACCACGGTGAAATGGTAAGGGGGTTAATGTCCAGGGGGTTGAATAGTTTTAAGGGTAAAACTATTATACCGGGCATCTGTGTGATGTGAATATCCTGAGGGTTAGATAGTTTCCTGGGGTGAAACTATCAAGCCGGATATTGTGTGGTGACAATACCTAGATGATCTATTAGTTTTCAGGGGTAAAGCTAACGGATCAGGTATTGTGGTAAATAAACCCGTGAATGCTTAGTAAAAGGTTTACTGTGGCATGCATGTGTGTGGTTTATTTACACTTGAAAATTTAGGAAATGGGAAGACACTCCCATCTTAAGCCTGGAGGGTTACTTGGGTCGATCCCTCGGCCAGGTGCTGTACATGGATGTGACAGCAGGGCCGTTGACGTGAGGGGTTAAGTGGTCCAGTGGTGTCGGGCCTATGATCCAGTGTGGTGAGATAGGTTCCGGCTGGCAGCCACGAAACTGGGGGAGTGTCTGAGCCATTAGAGGCCTCGAAATGAGAATTAGATGTGAAAATGGTTGCATGCATGATAGGTTTATTGTGCTTGTAGTTTAAAGTCGCTTCCGCATGTGTACTTGATGAGTGATTGATTTCTTGCTTGCTTGGTGGTTGCTTGCTTGAATGTTTGATAACTAAGAGTTTTCCAGCTGTTAGAAGGGTTATCAATCCCCTTGTCAGAGTAGTATAAGGGGTGTCAAACCAAGCTTGTAAACGAGACACTAGCCTATGTTATTTGTTCACTTAAGTCAAGACAAGAAAGTAAAAGCTTGGTGACGATGATTAACGGGCAAATAAGCAATAAAGTTAAGTAAAAGCAGAGATTCAAACTAATCAAGATGCAAACAACAAACAGGTGATTCAGATGATGATAATGAATGATAAAGGCAGAAGCTTTAGACAGGATATTTGACTCGGGTGCTTCCAAGCTAGACTAATGGGTTAATGAATCATGTTATCAAGCGATTTTATTTAACTTTGAACTCAAGGCATGTTAATCTTCTCATGAAAGTATTAAACATCTAAACTGATCCTTTTTTTTTTCATACCAAAATCCCTTTTGAGAATCATAAATCAGTCAGCAATAAGAATCGGTTCAAAAAATGTCATTTAAGAGAACAAACTATCGCTCTCGCGATGAAAGACTCTTAAACCCTTAACCGAGTGGTTCAGACATTTCTACAAACACTTTTGATGCGAGATATGTCTCAGATCTGAACCTCAAGTGATGTGCTTGGATCCAGCCTAGAGATCTCGTCGGTTAAGGAATGAAACATGCAAGACTAGACACCTAAACCCCTTAATCCACCTTGAAAGCACCCTAATCTACCTATCTAAAGCCGCTTAAACGACTACTCACTAATCATAACGAGCTCACTAAGTCTTTTGCAAGACGTGTAGCTAGTCATGATAAGGAGTTTGATGTTTGGATGATAAAAAAAATAAAGAAAGAACAAGATTCTGATGCAAAAACGAGATATCGGATTAGATTAATCAAGTTTCACAAAGGAGGCAAGTTCTTAAAGCTAAAAACAGATAAGAGATAAGATAACTAGGTTTTTAGTCTCAAAATGTATTTATAGCAAAGGGAAAGTGTCGCGGGTCAGACCAGAACAAACCGGGTACTGAACCGCTTCCTTGGGTTGATGGGTGAGTGCCACGGTGTGTCGGAAAGTGAAGCCGAGGTCTTCATGCCGAGGTGTGCACGTGAGTCAGGATCCAGGTGAAGATCTCGTGAAGAACACGTCAAGAACATGCATGAACCCTAGTCTTTGATCCATCCTCACGTGTGTGTTCTTAAGCCATTCTGTTATTGATTCTGGGTTCGTGACAAGGGACCTCGGGATAAAATGTCGAGGGGTCATGATGTCGAGGTGTTTGGGAGAACACAGTCCGGCATGCACGCCGAGGTCATTACACCGAGGTGTACTCTCAACACTTAGTCGTTTTCAGCTTCTGTTCTTACGTATGCATGCCTCGATCTAATCATGCCAAGGCTTTGGGACGAGGTCTGGTCCAAAATACTTCCAAGATATGAGCCTCGACTTGAGTGATGCCAAGGTAAAGGTACCGAGGCTTGTGAAAACACTTAGCGCGTGTCGCAACTCATTTAGGCTTGTATCGACCATGTCACCCTCCGGAAACGATAACTTTCAGAACACGACTCCAATTGCTCTGGGACCAGTTCCACAGTCAAGATGACTCAATGAGCTTGAACTTTGGTGAAGAAACCATCGGAGCTTGGGGAGTGGAAGGCTTCCTGGATTTCACATCTTTGCGCCGCATTGGAATTACCGGAAAATAGACTTTTAGACCGATATGAACTCCGGAGACGCTATCTTCCAAACCTTTGCTCCGAATTGAGCGATTCCAAATGCTCTGAGAATTTCTTCCATGGATCTCGAACTTTGATGAAGACCGGGTAAGCTGGTTTGGACAGGAGGGGCTCCGTCCGCCATGATCTTTGAAGTTCGCCGTTCAGTTCTTGGGTACGCGCAATGCTGGTGAATGCTCCGGAAGCCATATCTTTCTCTCCACTGGTCCGAATTGGATGATTACAACTGTTCTGGAATCTTTGCTTGATTATCTCCAACTTTGGTGAAGACCCCGCCAACTGATTCGGACGGTAAGGTTCCCCGGATTGCTGATTTCTGAATTGCGCGGGCAAGGACAACTTTTGGTCGTAAAAACCTTCCCGCGGTAAGAAAAATGGCCGAGGGCTGTGTACCGCGGTAAGCTTTTTGGTCGTAAAAATCCTTGCCTCGGTCAAAAACTTGTCCCATGGTATTTTTGCACTCGATACTCGATTCTGGCCGATCGGTAAGGTTTTTGGCCGGTAATGAGCGTCCGGTAAACATTTTGGCCGAGGTTTCCGACCAGCCGGTACGAGATTTGGCCGAGAAATTCCTCCAAGCGGTTTTCACCATTTTTGACCCTTTTCTTCACCGTTTTCTTTTCTGTTTCTCTTCTTAGGCTCCAATTGGTCTCCAAAGCTCCTGATAAAGACTTCAAAACATGCAAAACTCTTTGGGACCTAATGCAAGTCATAAGTCCTATTTTAACGCCTAAAGACTCAATTTACATGAGAAAACACATGATGAGGACTCTATAATGCAATCTAAATGATGTAAAATATAAACATATCAACTCCCCCACACTTGTCCTTTGCTTGTCCTCAAGCAAAAAGAACAAATGAGAGAGAGAGGTTGTAATGCAGATGGAGCTCATATTTCCTTTTTAGAGAGAAGTGACCACAAGAGAACTCGGATTCATGCTCAAATATGCAATGCAAAGCTATACTCGGATATTTTCCAACTAAAACACGGAATCTCCACAAGTCATTATCACATTCAACTCTTTCACATTCGTTAAGTTCGTAACCGGTGAATCAAATGATGCAATGTTCAAATAGGCTGGCTTGGCTAGGGTAAGGTCATGAGATAAAAATGATCTCATCAATATTCAAGCGGGTGCAACGCAACAAGGGATCTCTCAATGAATAACCAAACTTCGGCAGAATGCTAAAGGTAAAAAGCAACCGATGCATACAAGGGCAAGACTCATCACACCCCACACTCCACTCAAAGCGTTTCTCACTTGCTCAGCCTCTCAGAATCCTCACTCTTCACAATCGTTTTCTTTTCACTAGGGGACTCGCCTTTTTCTTTTATTTTCAAGCCTTGGTTTTCACTTATTCACACAGCTCTTTTCTTTCATAACGTATAGCCTCTTTCATTTTCATTTCAGAGCACTTGAGCCTTTGGCTTCTTTTCATCCAAGACTTAATTCATTTTCATTCATTCCCCTAGCTATTTCCACTCTCACTTTTCCACTCAGCTCACCTTTTTCCACTCACCAACAAGTCTTTTCCCCCACACTTATTTCTCACCAATACTCTTGGTTCCTTGATGTTGGATCATATCACTCAGTGAGCCATGTCCTTGTCGCTCTAAACCTAACACTTTCTGCCAAGTTCAGTCCAAGGTGGCCTTA